CCACGGGAATGCCGCTTCTTTCTGGCTCCATCCACCGCCTTTGCATTCATCCATTCAAAACGCCTCCGCCGGCGTTCCCGCGTCCTTGGCCAGCCGGGGCCTCCGATTCCCCGCGCATCCACGGCCAGCCAACTCCTCCATCGCGCGTTGCTTCCTCGGCGCCGCATCCCCAGCCACACGGCCTCGGGAATGCCATTGAATCCCGGCGCTGCATGCCACCTTTGCGCCCGCCAATGCGCCCCCTCCGGCGCTCCGCATCCTTGGCCAGCCAGAGCCTCCAATTCCACGTGAATTCATGGCCTACCAAGGCTGCCATCATGCGCTAGTTCCTCGGCGCTGCATTCCCTGCCATTCAGCCGTGGGAATGCCGCTGCATTCCAGCGCTGCGCTCCGCCATTGCACCCGCCAATGCGCCCTCTCCGGCGCTCCCGCGTCCTTGGCATGCTGGGCCTTCAATTCCACGCACCTCCATGGCCTGCCAATGGCGCCATCGAGCGCCGCATCCTTGGCGCCGCATACCCAACAAGGCAGCCCAAACAGCACCGCTTCAGCACCGATTCAGCGCCGCATTTTCTTCCGCATTGCTCCGCCCCTCTTCCTCCTCCAACGGCGATCCTTCGGCGCTTTCAAAACTCCATCTTCATACCTTCGACTTGCTGGCGTTTTCCATGGCGTCGGGTCCTCTTTCGCCTCGGTTGCTGCTTCCATGCAGCTCGATCCGCACCCGATTCTGGCGCCGTTTCTCGTCACTACGCCCCTCGGTCGCGGCTTCACCCAACGCCACCATTCCCGGCGTCATCCGCCGGCGATCTTCCTCGCGGCTCCGCGCTCCGAAACCACTTGTTGCAGGGCTCTTTTAATGGCCTCCGCTGGTCCCTTTTCTCCGGCGCACGTCCCCACTTCTTCCGCCTGCACCCGATGGACCGATGGCCCCTCCGCCATGCCCGGCGGGCATAATCGGGGTGCTCGTTTGTTCTTTGCGCGGTGGGCCCTCTTGCGCTCGGGGATCGGGCGGCTCTGCTGTTTGAAGACGGCGGGTAGCTAAGGCAGCTTGCTCCCCGGGCCGCGAGGCCCGTGCAGAGCGAGGCAGTGAGCCAAAACGGGTAACAGGGCGGGGAGCAACACACCCCCGCGTACATACTGGTGGTCGGCCACATTCCGGCCTGACCACCCGTCACACAGACACTACAATGTACATCAGTGTGTCACGACTGTATCGCCCGGCATACCCCCATATCGGACCCACTATCAATACACCGCAGCCCAGTCTGCCCCACAGCCTGTCCCTTAAGTACAGGGATTTCCCTAGGCCATACACTACTCCATACTTGGGGGATTCAGACAAGTAAAGAGCCTACGAGTATCTAGACATCACCAAGAATCCAAATAATGGGTCGAATCCCACAGATGACTAACCAACCCAGACTAATGGCCATAATTCTCTCGACCCCCATGTGTTTCCACAATAGCAGGGGCCTAAAGGGAAGCCGACATTTGTTCTTCTACATGTAATAAGCGCTCTTGCATTGGGTACAGAAGAATACCATTATCAAAGAAACTGGTCCCATTCATAGTATAGCCATATTAATGCCATGTCCATCGTTATCATGAGTAGCAAGAGGATATAGGGTGCTGGGCTATTTATATCCTCTGCAACCCATGGTCGGGGTAGAGGCAGAAACCCAGGCTACACCCAACGTGGTCATGGTCATGGGTTGATGCCCCGAGGAGGTCGCACGGGGGGACCTGTTGGGTGATCCATGTATGTCCTAAACATTTCGTGGATATGTGCAATCCGGGAGGCCATAGAGGAGAAAGTTGCACATTATAGAATAGCATGAACTTTCCACCCGGTAAGTTGAAGGAAGAGTTTTAGTGAGGGTTGTCAGTAGGAATATTTTCCATGTAACAACCACTCTTTCTCTTTAGTATTCGTTTGTTCATAGGATGTGGTTGACTAGACATGTGATGAGATACACAGCCAACGTCCACATGCAGCACGCTTGTTAGCCATGCATGCATCTACTCCCATATCTACACACTGAGATAGGGACGTCCCACCTCCCTGATGAGGACAAAATATTACGCATGTTGGCCTGATGTGGAGGATGCCCTACTAATGGTCTCTTGGTGTGGGGGACGCACTGCCCAAGATACGGTAACACCACCCCAATCGGACCTTATTCTATTATACGATATTATATGGGAGTAGGCCGGGGTGGTTCCGCCTAGGTTACCGTAAGGACCTAGGTGCCTGGCGAGGCGGGTCCGTGGCTTAAAGAGGGCAGGCGCCCCATACCACTAACATTGTTGTATCACTAGTGCTTGCAATGGGTGGCCGAACACGCCGAGAACAATGACCCCAATGGTGAAGGCCACCACAAATTTGATGTTCGCCCTAGAAGTAGGAATTTATATGTTGCTTTAAGTTGCATTGCAAGTACAAGTGGAAGCCATGTTGTTCTTGTTATCCATTACCGTTCCGCCTCTGCGCCTTCAGTGGAGACCCTCCATGGTGGAAGCCCTCCACCGGACACCCAGCAATGGCTCAGGGCTAATCCCCAAGTGAACAACGGCTCGGGCGCTTGCTCTACCAAGCCCATAACACATCCGTGGAGAGAGCCGGCAACGAATCCACTGGCCATTGGGCAAGGGGGCGCCCCAAGATTCGACCCTTTGCAGTGCCCATCGGCTGCAATAATTCATGTTTTATTCTTTTTCCCACTGATGCTGATAGGCTCCCACCGCAGATTCAGTCGCCACTTGCTCTTCCTGCAGCCCCTATTGCTGCTTGGTCTCCTCCGCAACTCCAATTGCTACGAATCCCTCCCATAGCTCTAAACGTTGTGTGCCCTCTTTGGCACCGGTCTGGTGCCGGTCTAGCAATACGTCTAATATATAGTGGATGGTCAGAGGACCCCCTTTTGTCAAATGCACCCCCACAAATGCCCCCCCTTTGTCACAAAAGACCCCCTTTTGTCAAGATATCTCACAGAGGACCCCCTCTTATTGTTTTCCCAATAATCAAAGTTGTGCTTTTGGGGGTTTTAAGAATTGGATTATAAATGCCATTATAAATGAGGCGGGCAGCCTCACCTGGTTGCAAATTGATCCATTCTAAGGACATCTTTATAGATCAATCACTTGCAAGATGCTTAGGAACATGTCATGGGTTCTTTGCCACTTACCAGTGGCGCTTTCGGGCACCTTCCATGCTTATGTCGATTTCGTGGCAATTACATAATCTTTTAGTGTTACAAGTCTGTCTCCCCCCCCCCTCCCCCCAGCGTCAATTTGATGCTAAGCGTACCAAAATCGAACATAATCTCTTCGCTAATGTGTGAAACATGCCATAATCATATGGTCACTTCCAAACGCCCCCATTGCAAAACGAAAGTACAACAACTTCTTGTGAGACAAAGCGAAATAGAGGACTGTCACAATGCTGTCAAGTTTCGGGAAAGACAAATCCAAAACTTCCCCACAAGACACCTTTGCACGTTGCAGACAAGACACCACGACCAAGGCATCTCTCTTTGACATGCATGGCATTGTTTCACGAAGCTCATGTTGTCCCCAACAAACATGAGTGTGATTAAAAACTATCTCAAGAACCGAATTAGGTCAAACGATTTCAGAATTCTATCAAATAAATGGATTTTAAGACATTTTCATGACCATGTCTTTTCTGTCACAATCTGGCAATCGTCAAGCGAAGAATTACGCATAGGCTGGGAATCCGCCAGCTCAATGCTACACCAGGAATAGTGACATCCAGCAATGAGTGACCTTTGAACGTTTCATGGTAATATTTTTCTGCAGCAGCGTTCTTTTCGGCTCATCTCAAGCAGCAAAAAGTTGCACACCAATCGCTAGCCATCAACCATAAATAATCCTCCCAGTGAAGCGGTGGTCATTATGCGGTTAAGCAAACACACCTGCATGCTCAGTTGCAGAGCAGGTGATTTGATTGCAGGACGCAGTGGAACATTTGTGCAAAATGACCTGGGGGCTGTGCTCTGGTAAAATGTGGAGCACTGGAAGACTGCCTTCATATATACTTGTGACGGTACTGAGTTGTTCTTGAGGGCCTGTTCTCAGGCTCTTGATTGCATTGCTTGGCTGGACGGGTTTGTAATGATGGCAATGTTAGATTCAGAACATCTTGGCGAGAAGGTCCTCCCACGTCGCAAATACTCTCAGAATGTGTGGTGTTTATGGTGCAAAACACAAAGGGGGAACAACGCAACCCTGAGCTGTATTGAAAAAATCCTTAATACGCCGAGCGTCCACTGTTGACATTGTCCCACTGGAATACTGTTTCGATCAACTGTTGCATCGAGAATGGCTTCGACTGAATGCACCCGATTGGTACTGGGACCACGGGGCATCAGGTTTGCGTTCGATCCTGTCATATATTTCGTGATCAATATTGTCGCTCCGCCGTTTTACCAATTTTGTTTGCCTGCACAAGGTGTGGGTCCTGGAGAATATGAAGTGATGTGAAATGGAGATTAGAATATTCATAACCAAACCTACTGTTTGTCAGAAGTCCGCCCTTGACTGTGGACTGTAGTGCAGCGCATTCACTATCGAGAAACGTTGGGGCAAGTGAAGCCACCATATGAGACAGTTTTGGCGCGGGGCCCACCAGACCTCTGCATGGCAATGACTCACAGCAAAATGCATCGTTCAGTTTACACTTTTGACGCGTCAGAAACAGTGTGACGATGTATCCAATCGCATCAACAAGCGTTCAGTGCCCCACTTTCAAAAGCATTCAATCTTCGGGCGCTCGTTCTTCCCATGCCGATGACACTCTCGTTGATGCTGCACTGACAGCGCAGCAAGAGCTTTGTGCATGGGCACTCCCAATACTTACAAGCGGTACGACTCACTGCCCAGGCTTCCAAACAGACAAAAGCAAGAGTATGCAACCATCCATCACCAGCAAGCACACCTGCCATGCACGAGCGCTTCTGCAGACCACACCCAAATGTCTACATGTCCGCATACCCATCACCACTAGCTGGCATTCCCAGTCTGCCACAAAACCACTTCCGATCTTGTGGCAGTCCCACCAGTCTGCCCACCCTCTCGAGGCCAGCATCGGTAATGTGCCTGCACATATGAAAGTCCAGGTGCGTTAGGCAAGTCAGCTTCCCCAGGGATTCCAAGCCCTCGTCAGTGATGTTCCCACACCAGGACAAATCCAGGTAAGTGAGAAACGACAGTTTCCCCACATCATCCAGACCAACATCCGTTATCCGTCTGCAATGAGACAAATTCAGGTGCACAAGAGAGGATAAGTTGCCCACGTACCCCAGCCCATCATCTGTAATGCGCTCACATCCCTGCAGCACCAGCTGGGTCAGAAACACCAGTTCATGAACACAACCCACACCAATGTCTGTGACGCGCCCACAGTGCCCCAAATTCAAGTGCTTCAGGGACCGTAGTTTTGCCACGTGCGCCAGAGCAACGTCCCTGATGGCCCCACACGAAGACAGCTCCAGGTGCACCAGGTCAACCAGCTGGCCCACATGCCTCAAACCCCTTTCAGTGATGCGCTCACATTTCCTCAGAACCAACCGGGTGAGTAACCTCAGTTTTCCCACAAATTCCAAACCAGCATCGGTGATCTGGCTGCAGTGTGACAGCTCCAAGGCCGTGAGGGAGGCCAGGTTCCCAACATGCTCCAACCCAACATCATTCACTTGCCCACATTCGTGCAGCACTAATCGCGTCAGTGTTGATATCTTCTCCAAATGCTGTAACCCATTTTCTGAAATGTGTACACACCTGGTCAAATCCAAATTCGTCAGGGATGGCAACTTCTCCACGAGTTCCAGCCCAATGTCCGAAACTTGACAACAGCCAGACAAAATCAGGTGCTCAAGATTAGTCAACCTCCCAACTTGTTCCAAGCCGGCAACAGTGACAGCGCACTGGCACCGATGCAAAAATAGGTGCGTCAGGCAAGGCAACTCCACCACATACGCAAGTACCTCATCTGAGACATAGAGACCTTCGATATCAATATGCGCCAACCAGCGCATTTCCTTCAATGCAGCTAGTTCATCAGTAGACAGCACCCTCCAAGCCGAATATGGCTGCGATCTGAAGCCAAGTCCAACCATCCCGCCAAATTTCCTGACCATGGTGTCAACTACAGACAGTGACAGAGACACGCCTGGAGGGAGCCGGACAAAAGTAACACAGCCTGCTGCCCACCGGCCCCAGTGCTTGTTGACGAGACTTGCTGTCTTCAACACTCTGGAGCTGTGGACATGCTGTGCCATCAGCATGGCTTTGATGTTCTCCAGTACATTGTGGGGCAGGCAACCCCAATCCACTTGTGTCGATGAGCACTGCCGCGGAACACAGTCCTTCAGATTGAAATGAGGGCAGCAGCCATCTGCAAGGCTGCAGTGTTTGATGTGCATGTGAGCAGCTCTGCAATATCTCTGGCCTACAGGTTAGGGCCAATTGGATGGATCCCAAACAGCAAGAAACCACTTCTATTTTTGCTGTTTCCCCAGCAAGAGTACGGGCAGGATGTGCTCCAATACCCACGGCTGCAACGGTGTACATCCAACCCTTGCCAATGGCCAGGTTCAACAGTTTTTCCAAAGAGAGACAGCATATCATACAACATGCACCCTTCCAGAGAAATTGAGCTCAGGGCTCCTGATGATGCAGCAAATGGTGATGCAGAAGTCCTAAAGCACAAAAAGAGCCCACGGCAGGCATACTTCAGCCTCAGGCAGCACTCAGAGGGCCTTGACTATTGCCATCCATTCTGGAACCCTGAGGACAGCCATGCACTGTCATCCTGCTGTTGGAGGGTTTGAGGGCAACAAGGCTACAAGGTGTCCCACGTTGAATTCAAGCAAAGTTCTCACATGATGTGCGACGTCAGGAAGCGTATTCGCAAGGCACTCTTGTCGCTGTTCCCTTCACCCACCTGCTGTGTTACAAGCTCTTGACCATGCTGTGATGACTCCATGTTCGAGGCTGTCTGCGACAACAGAACCCAACTTCAGACACGGCAAGGGTGCGCAGGTACAAGGCCGTGTAGGTTACTGCATGGGGGCTAAAGAATGGAAAACCAGAAGAATGGGAACTGCATGCCAATTGAAACCCCCATAGGACAGTCGGCTAAATGGCAATGGGGGGCGTTCCGGGCTCATTTCAACAGAATGCCCAATCTCGAGATGAAAAGGCTGCCACTAACCACTGAAGGTAAATTTGGTGATCCTTCATGGGCCTCGAACACCCTAGCCGATATTGGGCGTCGGGCATCATCCCTTAATGTCGTGCACAGCACATCGTAGCGCAGGCGCAGCAGCTGAGCCTCTGAGCCAGGTCACACTGCATATTCGGACCGCCTTTGGAACCCATGTTTTGCCTTTCAAGTTAACCGCGGTCCCAACGGCCAAGGCGCAGTTGTGCCAAAATATGCACCTTCTGGCAGACCGGGCCTAAGGTCAGCCTACAGTACACCCAACTCTCCGGAAACCTGGCGCATTGGTGCTTAAGGCCGGCTCGAAGCGGCGTCGCCACAACGCGTCCGGGCATGGACCAGCAACTGCGACCGCAGCAAGCGCGGCGATTCTCAATCGCAGGCTTGCGCAATGCACAAGCGACGTATGACAATCGCGAACGAACTTCGCGAACATAGCTGCCGCCGGGCGCTGGCTGGTTACCTATCGTTGGCCTGTGGTTTCCCGCAAGTGAAGCTACCCACACAGGCGACGACTCGGTTTCAGGTTGCCAACCCCCCAGCATCCGGGGCGCTGGCGCAGAGGCGCAGAGGCAGCAGCGAAGTAGGAGGACCGGCTGCACACCACCTGACCACGATGTGACCTGACCGAGTGCGGTTACACGGGGACGGGCTACATCTGTAGGTTAGCCTCCACGAAACCCAACTCTCCCGAAATCTGGCGTGCTGGTACTTACGGTCCTGTTAAATGTGGCCTGGGGGCCCGCGTCCCGTTAAATATGGCCTGCGGAGCCCCGCCTGCCGCGTGTCTACTTCCTGCCAAATGGCCTGGCCGCGGCCTGTCCACGCTGGCGCCTCCGCCCCCCTGCGCCAAGTCGTGCAAACACAGTCGCTGGGCCACGGCAGTTCCACCAACCCGCCCCGAGCGGCGCGGGCGCCTTCGCGGCAACGAGCAAGTGCGCCCATGTTGACGACTGGGCTGCGCTCGACTCTTCCCTGGCAAGATTGCGTGCTGGACGCTGTGCAGCGCTGGCGGACGATCGCGGCCGGCCTCCAAGAACGAAGCGCGGCATCCATGACCAAACTTGGGTCAAGGATCTATAGCGGTATTTGCCAAGGTCGGAATCCCGCGCCCGCGCTTGCACACGGCCCTCTGGCTGACCCAGCCCCGGCCTGACCGTATGTGCGATTGTTGCGGATTGCATAGCGGGATTCTAAAACGGGGTGCCCCTACGCCGTTACAAGGGCGAGCGATCGGCCCTCGCCCGGCTAAGGCGGACGCACAATCCGCAAGGAAGGTCTTGGGGGGGCAGACGCCAACGCGGATCGGCAAAAGCACGCGCCAATCAACCAAAAGACGTGCGCACAAAGCATATCGCTGTAAAGTTAGGGAGCTTCCGTGCAGATTGGGGGGTGACAAGTTGAATTGGCGGACAAGGAACCTGCCAGGCTTTCCGGCCAGCCAGGCTGTTTCCCTGTCCACCGCTCGCCCGTGCTTGCCGACCTTCACGTGTGGCTGCCTCGCCAAGGCAATGGCTTGAGACTTCGCCTGCACGCGACAAGCCAGCGTTGCACATTTCACCCTAACTCCAGAACCCGTGGGCTCCAAGCGCTCACCAGAGCCCAAAAGGGCGCCCTGCTTGGTCCCTGAGGCCGCCTTCCTTCGTGGAGGCCACGCTTGGCCGCGATCCCGGGACGAAGCGATGCGGCAGGTGAGGGTCGGCAGCCCACATTTAATGGGACGCGGTGTGCCCGTGGACATTTCTTCTCAGCTTCCCCATGGCAGTTCGGGCAACGGCGCGGATAGTTCAGTTCCCAGGGCCACCCAAGGCACCCGTCTGCTAAAAGATTGGCGCAACACGCAGGGTGTTGGTAGCTGGGTCCTGTCGGCGACGGGGCCCTATCGCGTTCATCAAGCCATTGAGCACCTCCAAGCGTAGAATGAACAAGGCAAATGCTGCAAACAAACTAGGCGCGGACGATGTGAGTAGACATGGAAATGATCAGCAATGATCAGTCCTCTGCCCACTTCAGCGCATTTGGCTGCTACTCCCCAGACCCCTTGAGTCTGTATTTACTATTTTTATATACACAGGGCATGTATCTACGTTTTTACATGTGTGTTTACACGTAAAATCGTAGATACTATTTCTATATATAAATATATAAATAAAAGCTGTGTTGACGCCATAAACAATAAGTGTGAATGCGCAGATGAAGCTCAAAATGCTTTGCATCTCAGCACAATGATGTTGTAGTACTCCACGCATTTGGTCGATAAGCCAGGGGTGTGATTGCACTACACCCCTCCCATCCCTTGAATGAACAGTATGACAGAAGGGGTCTAACTTGTCTGTCCCTATCAACTGTCAAACAATGTTAGGAGACGGGTTTGTGTTAAATTTGCTATTAGTCATAATGCCATGTCACCCAATGACTAGCTCATGGCTAGCACAAGGCAACAAATTGGGTGACACAACACTATAGACCAATCAACATTGGCATGGACAGCCGTACAACGTTGCTAGAGAAGCAAGAAAAGCACGCTAATAGACTTGCCTCAATTTAACGTAGCAACAAGGCATGTAGAAGGTATCATAAGCCAAATAGAATGAAAAGTTTGTTTCTAAGGGTAAACCACCTAGTTAATCAAAGGACCCAAGTGCTCAACGTGTATTTATGTCTAACTTTATGGCATACAATACAACGGCAATATGGAATGAATGTATGATACAGGGAATGTTGTGGACATGGGACAAAACATGCAACTCAGGTTCTCATACTTTGAGCAATTTACCACCAATTGACACATCGTACTTAGCTCGGCGGCACTCATGGTATATGGCGGAGTAACATAACATCTCATCATAGGCATGACACAATACACAAATCACAATATAATTCTTGTTGTAATAAATCACAACACCTAGAGGACACAAGTACTCTTCAGATTTCGCATGTATTGTTACAAGGTCGGAGTTGTTATGTGAACAATATCTTTGGTCCTTTATACGAGCGGAGTGAGATGCGACGCAAAGGCGCGCGGACCAATTATCCGCGCCTTTGCGGAGCATCGAGCGCAGCGAGGCGATTTTGGATTTTGGGCCATTGTCGGGCCATTTCGCTGCATTGGAAAAGGGGCTTTGGAGACAGTCTGGGTGCTTGTGGGGACGGTGGTCTAATGTACAAGGTAACCCGGGGATGAGTAACGGTACTGTGTGCTGCGGGGACAAGAGCCGGGGAATCTTGTAACGAACATCCTATTCTGCTGTCACTGCCTGACTGCGGACCGCGCGCAAGGCAACGCCGGACCCAATCCACCCTTCCGACTGACGCACCGCAGCGGCCGTTCCGCCAAGGGGCCCACCACGTCCGCGACGCGTCGAGATCGATCGAGCGACCGTGCCGATTACGCCCGGCTGACCGCCGGAGGGATCGACGATCCATCGCACGGGGCGCGCGCGGAAAAACCACACGCCAGGAGCCTTGCGCATTACATGCATGGGGCTCCTATGGGGTAACCCGGCCCAGTGATTGGTGATGGGCATTTGCAGTTTGCAGGGTTAAAGAAGCAATTGCCAAGCAGGGTTGCATGCAAACTCATCAGAAGTGTTGCACATTTGAGCACGCAAATATAATTTGGGAGTTGCATTAGTAATAGTAACACATGCAAAATCTACAGAGCATATATGTCCCCTGGGTGTTGTGATTTATTACAACAAGAATCATGTGGTGATGTGTGCATTGTGTCACGCATATGACAAGATTTTATGTCACTCTGCCCCATGCCATGGGTGCCACTGAGCTAAGCACGATGTGCCGACTGGTGGTAAATTGTTCAAAGCATAATAACCTGAGTTGCATGTTTTGCCCCATGTTCACAACATTCCCTGTATCATACATTCATTCCATGCGGTTGCGGTCTTGGCACCTCCCTTGCCCTCAGCTTCCAATCCCCCCTTCCCGCCCTGCCGTGTTCTATTGAGCGGTTGCGCTGCAGGTCGTAGCCGCTCTCACGTGCCAGGTTGCTCCTTAGGATCGCCATCATGTCCAACAGAATGCGTCTGTGGAAACTCTCCCTCTGGTGCGCCCTACATGGCCATGGCAAACACAATTCCAAGCAAGCCGCCTTGCTCATAGATGGGCTCCCACAACTTTTGGCATAGTCGGAATGGAAATGGTATCTGTTCTTTTTCAATTCCCGTTGCATTTCCGTTCCGTTCCCAACCCATTCCGGCCCATTCAAACCCGTTCTTGCCCATGCCAAACCCATTCCGGTTGGGATTGTCATGTGGCGGGGCGTTGCAACTCTTGTCGGCCTTTGGGCGGCTCAAGTGCGCAATGAGCCTTTGGGCTGTGGCAACCCCGTGGGTACGGGAGGCATTCACAACAATCACGCACGGGAAAGACAAGTCTATCACTCATGACCCGAACCTATTCTTACATATGAAATGAGTGTTATTTATAGCTTGATGATGTGACGGTTCACGAATTGTTGTATCCAGAATCCCCACTCTGGCCACTTCCATGCGTTGGCTGGGTTCGTGTTTGGTCAGCATGCCAACTTCCTATTCCCGCCGCCCATACCAACTATGCACCATTGCCAACTAGCCCACCAGCTACCCACGTACGCTACCCACTCCCACTCTCCCTCACTCCCACACTTCCTCAGCTCCTTTTCCCGCCGCCATCCCCAACTATGAACCAATCCCAAAGCCGTCCCCATCCGTTCACTACACCCAATTCCCCTTAATTGGCCTTTCGTACATACTGCGCTCCCTCCC